TTTCTCCTGCCTGACCTCTTGAGCTGGAACATTTTTTTTTTTTTCTGGCCTTTGGACTTGGACTGAAATGTTGGCTCTTCACCTCGAGTCTGCCAGCCTTTGGATTAGAATTTACACCATCAGTTTTCTTGGTTCTCAGGCCTTTGGATTTGCAATGGAACTACAGATGGGCTCTCCCGAATCTCCAGCTTACCAAGTGCAGATCTTTGGACTTCTTAGTCTCCATTAATCACATGAGCCAATTCCTTATAGTAAATCTCTTTCTAGATAACTAGAAAGATAGATATATCTTATTGATCCTGTTTCTCTGGATAACTTTGACCAATACAGGTCCTCAAAGGATCGTCTCCTATTTCTGGAACTAAATTCTGTCCCTACCAATTTGTGTTAATAGCTAAAAGATACTGGTCTCAAATCTCACACAAGTATTCTGGGTGTGTTGTCTACAAAGCATTACTATTTATTTTCTTGCTTTCCCTCTGGTTTCTTTGATTTTCCATATTTTATTTGAATTCTGATGGTATTTGCTTTGGTAATGGAAAAGGAAACTCATATTTTGAAAACCCTACTATGTGCCTGATAACATGCAAGTTATCTTTCTCTTATTTTATCTGCACACATTATAGAAGATGATAATTAATTATTTGCATTTTTACAGTTAAGAAAACTGAAATACAGAAAGATTAAATTATCTAGTGTTACATAGCCAAATTGTTCACAAACTTCAACATCTGGTATTAAGATGCAAGTTTTGATGTTTTAAAAAATTAACATTTATTAAAGGACAAAGAGTTATATTTAAATGTATATCTTGTAACAACAAGAAGGATAATAAGCAACACAGAACTGATGATGAAACAAACAGTAGAACAGGATTGCATGAGTCACAACCACAAATCCAGAAACAGACCCTCTAAGACTTCAAATATTGAAATGATCAGATTAAAAAAACAAAACCAGAATACTTGCCATTTATAAAAGTAAGCTTGAAAATGTTTTTAGGAACTGAAAAATACAAACTAGTGGCATCGTATACTTAAGTAAGAACCAAATAGAAATTTTAGAACTGAAAGGTCTTCTAAAATTAAGAAAATGGTTTGATAGCAGACTTGACACAGCTTAAGCAAACTTCCTGCTTCAGTTTTCCAAGTAGCTGGAAGTACAGGCTTGTACCACTGCACCCAGCTTTAATCCATTTTGAGTTAGTTTTTGTATATAGTGTGAGATGAAGGTCTAATTTTATTCTTCTGCATGTGAACATCCAGTGTCCTAATGCCATGTATTGAAGACACTGTCCTTTCTGCATTGTGTGTTGTTGGCACCTTTGAAAGAAATTAACCATAAATATATGTATTTATTTCTGGGATTTCTGTTCTTTTCCATTGGTCAATGTGTCTGTTTCTATGCCAGCACCAAGCTGTTTTGATTATTATAGCTTTGTAGTATATTTTGGAGTCAGGTAGTGTAATGTATCCAGTTTTGTTCCTTTTGTTCAAGATTGCTTTGTCTATTCAGGATCCATTAAAAAAAAAAGTTTTGGTCTATTTCAATAATTCAGAACATTTCAACACATGTCCAGAATCTAATTATTTATCATCAACTCAAAAATGCTAACACCATGACTTCTAGTGTGGGTCTCTAGTCTTAACGTATCTTCCTGCTTCCAAATATTAAATACTGTGCTATATAGTACTCACAAACATACCTAAAGATGTCTTTATGGTTGACATTTTTGTTTTTATTATTTATTTTTTATAGTGTCTATGTTCTACTTTTTAAGTTTCTGGAAGTTGATTCAACACTATTTTGAAGTAGAGTCTGCTTCTACCTTAGCTATGCCAATCTTCTTCAGGCTCTGTTCCTGTGAACCCAATCATACCTATGCATATATTTTGCATACCTATTATGACATGCTAACCAGTAGAAGGGCAACATGGCATCAATCTGAAGTTTGAATCCTTTTTTTGCCAGTAACTGGCAATATAACTTTGAGATGAGTTTCTCCGTAAAATAGGGGCGGTGGTAATAGAACCTATTTCATAGGATAATTGGGGTATTAAATAAGATTCAATAAGTAAAAATTTAGTAAGATGTCTTCACATAATAAATATTCAATAAAAGTTATCTATTATTATTATTATTATGTCACTCCCTGCTCAGTCTTCAATATTTCTCATTGCCTACAAAATTAAGTATACTTATATTCTAATAAAACTTCCTTTTACTCTTCCAAACTTATCTCTAGTTTCTTTGTAACATAAAATAACAGCTCAGCCATGCTCTTCCTACCTTCATGCTCTAATTTTTTATCTTTTCTCTCAGCTTTCTCGCCTGAAAACTGAAGTCTTTCACAGCTGTCTTTTGTCCAAACCAGAGTCTAATTGCTCTCTTACCCCACTCTGTTTTTTAAAAAATCATGCTTCCTTTATCTGTTATCAATTCTCAAGGTATATTGCATTGTAATTTGTTTACATGTCTGATGCCACATTTAAAAGTATACTTCTGGGCTGGGTGCAGTGGCTCATGCCTGTAATCCCAGAACTCTAGGAGGTTGAGGTGGGTGGATCACTAGAGCTCAGGAGTTCAAGACCAGTCTGGGCAACACGGCAAAACCCCATTTCTAAGAAAAATACAAAAAATTAGCCAGATATGGTGAGGTGCAACAGTAGTCCCAGCTACTCAGGAGACTGAGGTGGGAGAGTCACCTGAGTATGGGAAGTTGAGGCTGCAGTGAGCTGCGTTCATGTCACTGTACTCTAACCTGGGTGATGGTAAAGAGACCCTGTCTCAAAAAAGAAAAGAGAAGAAGAAAAAAAAAACCCAACAACAGTATACTTCTCAAGGGCAGGGATCCTTTTAAAAAAATTCATGAAGGCCAGGTGCAGTGGCTCACACCTTTAATACCAGCACTTTGGGAGGCCGAGGCGGGTGGATCATGAGGTCAAGAGATCAAGACCATTCTGGCCAACATGGTGAAACCCCGTCTCTACTAAAAATACGAAAAGTAGCTGGGTGTGGTGGCATGCGCCTGTAGTCCCAGCTATTCCGGAGGCTGAGGCAGGAGAATTGCTTGAACCCAGGAGGCAGAGGTTGCAGTGAGCCGAGATCCCACCACTGCACTCTAGCCTGGTGCCTGGTGACAGAGCAAGACTCTGTCTCAAAAAAAAAAAAAATTCATAGATTTTATTGTTAGAACTTTTTAGGTTCACAGCAAAATTGAGCAGAAATTACAAAGTTTATGTATTCCCATATACAAAGCTTCGGTTACTGTCAACATTCTGCACCAAAATGATAATTGTTTTAATTGATGAACCTACTAGACACATCATTATCACCCAAAGTTTATAGTTTACATAGGTTCATTCTTGGTTTGTACATCCCATGAGTTGGACAAATATGTAATGATATATCTCCACTATTATATTATTAAATAGAATCGTTTTACTGCCCTGAAAATCCTCAGTGCTTAAACTATTCACCCCTACCCCTCCCAACCCAGTCTCTGGCCAAAGATTCTTCCTAGTTAATCTTTAGAACATAACATAATATTTGACTCATTGTTGCCCCAAATAAGAGTTTTAACATGTGTGGTTTTTAGATGAATGAAAGAAGGAATAGATTGGAGAGTATCAGAGCATCTTGCTGACTAATGTTTTGTGTGTTTCCATATTGACTCATACTGTTCTATTCTACTCAGAAGACCACCCCAACCTCTTCTGTGATGCCAATTTAAATCCCACCTTTTCCATTAAATCTTAGAAGAGTGTACTCTGGACAGTTTTAAGACTTGTTTTATGAGTCATCTAAGTAATTCTATGTGTCACACTTGAATTTTTGTTTTATGAGCCTGTGTAGGATTCCTTAGTGAGACTAAATTATATTTTTATATGGTAGGTAGAGTTTTATGATAATTCATCCCTTTGCATTTTATGAGGAAAAGATGCCTTGATAAATTCTCGTATTTCACTGGGGATTGCAGACAATGGTCAGGAACAGAAAAACTTCCTGGTCTATAAAAAATTCACAGTCTCAGTCTCTTTTGCAATCAGTTCAGCTAACTGTCTAGGAAAGAAAATTATTGGGAACTTATTAAAAACAACAGAGAAGTAAACTTTTTTTTTGGTAGATTTGAGCTTGTAGCATTTTCGTAAAAAGCTATTGAGGGTTGCCAAATTGTTGTTAAAATAAAATAACTTATATGTGCTAGCAGAAGTTATTTATAGAATAATTTACATCCTTTCCCAAGTATTTTAAACATTCTAAAATGGAATCTTTGATGTCTGTTATTTTGCTTTAATACAAAGTTAAGAAGAAAATGTTACGCATGTTGTTGATTTTCAAGTCATCTTTTATTCCCTCCCTCCTCATAAGAGAAGATTAATTTAGATTTTGAAATTTCATTCATTTAGTTTTGACCACATAGAATGCTATACTTATCTATCTTGTATTTATCTACATTATAAAACCATTTTGCACAAAGTTTGGTTTTTCGTCAAGCTTCATTCACCAGGATGCTTTTCTATAGTCAATGGGATTTCTAGGAAAAGTTATTTGAGGAGTCTTGAATTTGGATTTTATGCATCATGGAGATATGAAACTCCTACTTTAATAAAGATTAATACTCACTTAAGATATTATTGGGAAGACTTTAGCCCAACCATATAATAAAATTATATTCTTTTTAGTTAAGGTAAAATTTTAGTTATTTATATAGTAGTAGCAGTCTTAAGAGCTATGCTGGACAATCTATCATTATGAATTAAATAATAATATTCTTGTCTTGGAACATTCCAGGGGGTGACAGTTACCATTTTAAAAAGAAATAAAGTATTTAATTAACATTGTCTTTAAAATATACCAGAGTATATTCCTCATTATGATCTTGTAATTGGTAACAGTTTTAAAAGTTGAAATCTCAATTTATGTTCAGAAAAGTAATTTTGAGTCTTAAAAGGTAAACTGAGTGATTAGGTTCATGGCAGTTCTATTTTTATTTGCAGATAATACCTCTGAGATAGCAGTTACTACTCCAGGAACGAGTAACCATAGAAACAGCTCAACAGGCCCAACACCTGACTGCTCACCTCCATCCCCTGATACTGCCCTCAAAAATATTGTAAAAGTCATTCGACCCCAGGTAAGTGCCCAGAATGACATCATTTTCCCTATAATGTTTTCTTATGTTGAATCAATGCATGTACATCACTTATATTGCAATGCCCGGGCTATTTTATGTGGTATGTCACTGGATTTCTAAATTAAAAGAAGGGACTCAGAAGAGGATGCTTACTTCCTTTGAAGTTGGTGATAAACAACTGTATTTGTTTTTGAAAAAAATGTATTGTGCCTATTACGTGAAGTAGTAAGTGAGACTTAGAAAAATAGCCATTTCACATCATTTTTCTCTCACATTTTAATAATTATGCTCCAGTTATTGGGCTGTGACATACTTTCTGGTGTTTCCTGCTCCTTTTGCCTTTATTCCTCTGGACAATGCTGCATGATTTGTGATTATTTCTCTGTCCTCCAACTCCAGTGATTTTTATATTTCTCTAACTTCTTTATCTTTATGGTTTCAACTAATGTTGTCTGCATTTAATATTGTTCCTTGTTTTCCTCCAGTGTTCACAGTCCTTCAGCTAGTCTCTCTTTATTCTTTGTTCTTTTTTCCATCCCTGTCACTTTCCTGTATGGATTTCTCTCTTTCCTCCTTTCTCTTTCAGTTGGATTTTCCAGTAGGCGGTTGGCAGGCAAGCTTTAGAAATATCATTGGGACAAGCTGTTCTGTGATATTTCATTGAAAATAGCACTTATAAAGCTGTTTGCATTATATTTTTGCCAACAGATGGACTCAGAACATGAAATTGGTGGTGTTCTCAACCTGGCTCATTCTGAATGGGCCTCATAAAATCCAAGACAGGGGGACTTTGGATTCAATTAATGCCATTCATCATCTACTTAGATATAGAGTATGAATAAATCCTGTAGCCAAATTGTAGGGCAGATGTGACTTTCAAGACTATTTAGGTCTAAATGAGCAATAGTTGGTTTAATATTTTTCCTTCTTTAACATAAGCTATTTTAGATCATTTTTATTATAATCTTCATCCTCATTAATAAAATGGCACTTAAATTCTGAATATCCACTGCAGCTTATAGAACACTTTCATGTGAATTGTTTCCTATATCCTTCATCAATTCAAGTGCAATTTATGTTTCAGTGTTATAGATAAAGTTATTGGCACTCCAAAGAGGCTACATTGTCCAACTGATTTTGAGTTTCTTTTTCTAACTTTAGTCTATTTGCCTCTTCCAGTCCTACTCAGAGGTTAGAAAAATCCTCATGAAGTTGTATAATTTGACACATCTTTAGAATTAGGTTGTATAATTCCATTTTCATATGGAATATGAAGGTTGAGGGGCATTTAGGCACAGGTAACGTTTGACACAGTGACCCAATATGTGGAGGAGAAAATGTTTTCCAAAATTTCTTCTGCTAGGCACAGTGGCATGCACTTGTAATCCTAGCTACTGGGGAGGCTGAGGCAAAGAATCACTTGAGCCTAGGAGTTCTAGACCAGCCCAGATAACATAATGACACCTTCATCTCATTAAAAAAAAAAAAAAAAGTCCTCTTTTTCAAGGAAATTTTATCGGGTCTATTTGCTTTAAGATAAACCTCACTAAACCCAGCTTTAGATGCTTTCTGTCATGTTTGTTGACACTAGTTCTCTCATATGTAAGGTAAACTCTAGGGTTATTGTGTTTCTAGTACATTTCTAGCATTTTAAAGCTATTTAGATAATACATTGACCTATATATGTTAATAAAATTCATTACTACATATATCTGTTTTTATACCAATGTAAATTCTCTAATGTAAATGCACTTGGTCATTCAATGAAAGAAAAACAGATTCTTTTTATAGATCTATGATTTGAATGACTGAGGCATTATTTTATAAATCCTTCTCTACATATTTTAATTGAGTGTAGGTTAGCTTGGTAAACTTTGAAGAAATCTAAAGGTAGAATTAAAGCCAGAAATTCCATCTTGACCCTATTCCTTGGTGCTGTCAGAACTTAAATATTTATCTTAGTAATGGACTCCACCTTTCTTAAATGTTATAACATTGCTTTAAGGAGAAAAACAAAGAAGTGAGAAAGTTAAGTAATTCAGGATGATGGTATTTAAATTAGAACCAATACAGACTGTATTTACGTAATAAAACAATAACAGCTATATATCACTATCTATATCTATATCTGTATTAGAACCAATACAGACTGTATTTATGTAATAAAACAATAACAGCTATATATCTATATCTTTGTTTTCTTTATATATAATTGCAGAAAGAATATAACCTTAATTAGGCTATTCTTTCTTCCACTCTGGAGACATTGGTGCATGACAATAAATTTCTCCATTTGTGTTGTGATCCCCCCAGGAGGCTCCTCATTCATTGTAGAAAGGAAGGAGTAGAATATTCACATGGAAATAGAGGGTATTCAGATAGGACACAAGGTTTCAGGGAACGGTTTGGAGACTAGAGGATGTGCATGGAGGATGGATGGATGGATAGAACAGGAGACTCCTGCTGTGTTCTGACAAATCAGGTGTGTCAGGGATGGAAAATGGTCAAGAGCTACTGTTCCAAAGAAAAGATAATTATTGGCGAGTTTATATAAAAGTGTATATTTTAATCACACGTTTAATGCTCTAACATATTTGTTAATTCAGGCTTTCTATCTGGATATGCAAAAAGTGTGAAGTTAGATGGACTTATGGGTATTCAAATCTTTCTTAAAATTAATTTTTTAAAAATTAATAATATAAAATGATAGTTTTACTTTTAAAACTGGTGTTGAACTTTGAAAATAAAATTATGTATGTGACCCTTATTCGTGAATTTACACTTCTTTGCCTGACCATTAGCTGATGTATTCAGTCTTTTAGTGTGGAAAGAATGCTATCGAATAGGTGCGGTAAAGGCAGAACTTTCATCTCATTCACTGAAAATAGATATACTGCTTAGATGGAGCAAATTAGGTTCCTTTGCCTTTGCCTCTTGTATACCTTTATGTAGTTTATTTTCTTGTAACTCTACCTGTGAATGAAGAGTATCCATTGTAACCAAGGAGTCCTTGCTTTCAACATGAGATAGGGCTGATAACACATTGCATGTGTTTCTGCTTAGAGTGTTAATTACTTGGAAACTGCAGGCTTTTCAGTGCTTTGTTGAGTTTGTTTTTATTCAGCATATGTATTAACTAAGTCACAGCTGTTAGTTCTGCATACTGTGTTTGATCTTTTTCACCTTTGTTTCTTTCATGTCTTAAAATTCTCTAGATTGTGAAACCATCTATTTTAAATTCAGACTGACTGAAATAGTTACATGTTACTGTTTTCTCTTCCTCTCCAATATATTAGCCCACAAGGCTGAAATTTTCTACTTACTTATATTTAAATACTTGAAAATCTTTGAAATACAATATTAGGTAGGTCTATTGATATTCCAGTTATTTTCTTTTTACTAAATAGTTATATGTTACTTGCGTTGGCTTTGTTATTTAAATATTTCCTGGTGAAGCATCTTGCTTTTCATAATTGAAGCATCAAATACACAGATCTTAAGTATATAGTTTGATGAACTTCAATTATTTACATAGGTATAACGCCACTCAAAACAAAATATAGAGCATTGCCATCACCCCAGAAAGTTTCCTCATGCCCTTTTCTAGTTAGTTGCCCTCCTTCCTGCCTCAGAGGCAGGAATGTTCAGATTTTTATCATTATATATTAGAGTTGGCTATTCTTGGACTTTATATAAATGGAATCCTACAGGGAGTATGTTTTCTGTGTGTGTATCACTGTTTGGGTTTCTTTCACTCAACATAGCGGTTTTGAAATTAATCCATGTTGTTTCTTTCCTGATGAGTGGTTTCCCATTGGATTAATATATTACAATTTGTTCATTAATTCTCCTGTTGATTGATGCTTGTGTTGTTTCTTGTTGTTTACCATTATGAGTGAATATGCTATGAATACAATATATAAGTCTTTTCACATAGATAAATAAGAGTGGCATTGTTGGGTCACAGGGTAGATGAATAGCTAACTTTATAAAAAACTTCCCAACAGCTTTCCAAAAAAGTTGTTCCGTTTTATAGTCACCAATAGCAATGTGTGAGAAGTTTCATTTCTCCACATCCTTGCCTTTTAAACCTTTTTATTTTAGCCATTCTTCTGGGTGTGAAATGATTGCTCATTATGGTTTTACTTTGCATTTTTTCTGGTGACTAATGAAGATGAGTACCTTTTTCTGTAGTTATTGGCAATTCTTATATCTTCTTTTGTGAAGTATCTGCTCACCTCTTGTTTTATGGGCTTGTTCAACTTTCTAGTTGCCTATTTGTAGTAATTTTTTTTTTAGTTATACTCTAAGTTATGGGGTACATGTGCAGAATGTGTGGGTTTGTTACATAGGTATACATATTTGTAGTAATTTTTTAATAAATTCTTTTGTAACCCCCCAAGATATTGGTTCTTTGTCAGATGTATGCACTATAAATATCTTCCCCCACTCTGTGATTTGCCTAAACATTTTCTCAAGTGCCTTTGATGAGCAGAATATTTTAATTTTTGTGTCATATTTGTCATTTTATTCTTTTATGGTTAGTGTTTTTGTGACTTGCCCCAGGTTGTATATGCTCCCACTTTTTTTTAGAAGTTTTCTTGTTCTGCTTTTTATACTTAGGTTGATAATCCATCTCAGATTGTTTTGTGTATGGTGTGAGATAGGGGTCAAGATTTAATTTTTGCTACATGGAAAAAAATATTATTCATTGAGTTGAGTTAATAATTTAGCATTATTTATTGCTTTCACATTTTAATTGTTGGCATATAGAAATGCAATTGAGTTTTATATTAACATTAAAATTTTTTTTAAAGCTAGAGTAGTTTTTGCTTTTTAAAAATATAATTTTCATAGGGTTCTTTTGCATCATCTTAGAATAATGAGAGTTTTACTTTTTTTCTAATATTTATGCCTTTTATTTCTTTTTCTTATTGCTATGACTATAATAAAATGATGCAATGAAGTAGTAAAACCAAGAATTATTGTCTTGTTCCCTA